TGGGGGTGTCTTGCGCCCCAGAAAATTAGTGGGAGCCGACGGATAATGGAGTGGTGTCCTACCAAACTTCCTGAAGCTCCCTCGGACTAGCCGCTAATCGATACTCATCCTGTGGGGCAGAAGGGAACGCCGCCAGCAGGAGTTCTTTCACATCCAGCCAGCGACGGGAACCATTCTTTGCATTTGACCACCTTCTTTCGTGACAACGGTTTCTCAAATCCGGCTTGTGGCCGGGTTCACAGTGTGCCGCCCGCCCCCTCCCGTGGAGACCGGCAAGCACTCCCACGCAGCCCGACCTTGGGAAATCCATGCGACCTTGGGAAATCCGTGCGCGCAGGCGCAGAGTGTCTGCTGTCTGACTAGGAGCGCAGATGAAGTATCTCCCCCGCCCGCCAGAGGGCGGCTGTTCGATCACCTGCAGCCGGGGAGTGCTGTCCTGCACGCGGGTCCTGAGGGCCCTGGCTGCTGCATTACTGTATGTATGTATTTTTTCCCTGCATAAAGATGCTCTCTTGCCTTCCTAGCCTGCTTTTTCCCATGTAAAGAGAGGGTGCTTTGGAAAACAAAGGTTTTAAGGCACGTTCTTTCAGGAAAATGAATTTTCCCCTTGGAGTTGGAATATAAAGACCTAGTCTCGTGGGGAGGAGATGAGTCACTCAGGGTTCAGTGTAGCAATAACGAAACCCACAACCTTCCTCTAGTTCTTAAACACTTCCTCCCCCCAACTACCATGACCCCAATTCTACCTTGCAAACCTGGTTAGACCAGAGGATGCACAGCGGTACAGGTGGGAACTGGAAACGCAGGTAATCCAGGACAGATGAACCCCTCAGGACCAGCGGTGAGAGTGGTGATACTGGGAGGGAAGGGGCGGTAGAAGGGAAATCGATCACAAGGATCTACATATAACCTCCTCTCTGGGGGAGGGGCAACGGAAGGGTGGGTGAAGGGAGACGCTGGGCAGTGTAAGATAAGATATAATAGTAATGTATAAATTATTGAGGATTCAGAAGGGAGGGGGGAGTGGGGAGGGAGGGGGAAAAAGGAAAATGAGCTGATTCCAGGAACCCAAGCGGAAAGCAAATTTTGAGAATGATGAGGGCAACAAATGTATGTGTGCTTTACACAATTGATGTATGTATGGATTGTGATGAATTGTATGAGCCCCAATAAAAAGATTAAAAAAAAAAGAATTATCAACAATAAAATCCAAGATCAGAGAAAAAAAACACCTAGTTTCCCTTCAGATTCCTCTCCACACAGCCCTCCTATCTTTCTTTATTTGGCTTTCATCGAGGTTGAATTTAAGTGTACTGGGTGTATTTTAAGTGATGATCTTTAATGAATGCATGGGGCATTCACCTACCCATGAGCACCCTCAACTCACTGGATGCTGACTCATAGCGACCCTATAGGATAGGCTAGAACTGCCCCTGTGGGTTTCTGAGACTAACTCTTTATGGGAGTAGAAATCCTCCTCTTTCTTCTGAGGAGCAGCTGGTGGTTTCAAACCACTAATCTTGTGGTTAGCAGCCCAATGAGTAGCCACTGTGCCACACAACCCTAGTCAAAATACTCACCTCTCCACCTGTTTAACCAATCTCTCCTGAGCTCCCTTTGCAGAAGAGTACTGGACTAGGGAAAGAGGGGGTGGGCGATATTAAAGGTGTCGTTACAGGTTAGGTGTTGGGGTGCTAGCCACAGGACAGTGGTTCATACCCACTAGCTGTTCCATGGGGGTAAAAATGGGGCTGTTTGCTCCCGTAAAGATTTACAATCTTCAAAGCTCTCTGCAGGATCCATGTGAATGTAAGTTGACTTGATGGCAGTGGGTTTTGCCACAGGCCCAGAGGTGCGGCACACACCGAGGGGGATTGAAGGGCTACCCTCTGATTCCTGAGAGAGGGAGGGTAGACAGGAAAGCCCACAAACCATTTTCATCACTCATGCCCGCATCTACAGCATCAGATTTCCCCGTCAGCATGGCTGCCTGAACTTTGTTTCCTGGTGTGGCTAGGGTTCACGTGTCAAAGGGACAGAACATCATGATTGGTGACAAAGAACAAGTAACACAAATGTCTTTAGCTATTCTTTAGACAGACAAAATGAGAAAAGGATGTAGGGATCCAAGGGTAGTAAATACCAAGATCCAAACCCAGACAAGGGACCGCATCGGCGCCCAAATCCCCGTGGAGTGGTTTCGAGTTGGGCCGCGGTCCTCCTCGTCAGCAGCACTTCCGTCATCAGCAGAGAAAGACGGGGCTTTCTACTCCTGGAAAGACGTACGGTCTCGGAAACTCACAGGGGCAGCTCAGCCCTGCCCTTACACAGTCTCTGTGAGTCAGCATAGATTCGGTGGCAGTGGGCTTTGGGTTACGGATGATAGTGTTGGCCCAAAATAAATTTGTAGGATCATTAATGAGGGTCCCCCGTTAGAAACGACGGCCCCCAAATCCAATGGTGAGCAGAACAAGGGGGATTGTCACTACTCGCCAGGAATCAGAATCCACCCAACGGACTAGTCAGAAGAACATTAGACGCAGAAGACTGAGACAGGAGTTTAGACGTAAGGTAGGGGGTTTGGAGTGGGGAAGAGAGCAGAACTCTCAAGTACTGGGGCTTCCTCCTGTGGCGGGTCCTATCATAAGTCACTACAACACTCAAACGCTCAATAAGCATCACTACCTATAGGCCAGGGCACAGCTGCCCCTGGGTTTCTGAGACTGTAATTCTTTACTGGAGCAAAATGCCCCGTCCTTCTCCCATGGAGCCTCTGGTGGTTTCAAACTGCTGACCTTGTGGGTCTTAGCCACTGTACCACCTGGGCTCCTCCTTAAGCCAATACAGGGACACCTGAAACCCATGTGACAGAGCCAGTGGCTTACCATGCAGGATTTGGACAGATCAGTGCATGCACCCGCTGCACACGTGATCTGCACTTTGCTCTGGGGGCGACATTCACCCCCAGTTCTTTAACAACGGACATTTCCTTCAAATGCCAGGTAGAATGTAGGTGCTTTTAAGTTTGGAAATGGATTCCCGGATTTGTGGGCTGCAGACTTCTTTTGCGCAGACGCTGGGGGACAGCATGGCCCCAGCCGGCAGAATGACACAGCACCACCTCCGGTTTGCTGTAAGCAAACAGCCTGGGCCTTTATTACCCTTGAAACCACCCTCGTGACACAGGTTAGAATTAAGAGGCAAGTGAGATGCCAAGTTGCTGTGGGTCGAAGTTCCCTCAAGCACTGTGTATGTTAATCAGCAGCTCAGCCTGAGTTAATTCGGCCGGTGAGCTGAGGGGAACTTTGGAACTACCGATTGCAGCGTTGGGTTGTGGGCGTTCGCAGAGCTCCCAGCAACTGTCCGTGCACGAAAGTCAGGCTTTTCTTGCCTGGTGTGAGGTTGTGTAGTTGGTGTGGTCCTTGGGAGGGGGCACAAGAGTAAGGGTCTTAAATAGCAGCTCCTGCAATCCAGACTCGAGTTAATCAAATGCATGTACTTAAAATAAAGCCCAATCATTGTCATTATGACCTGTCATCTATATACATATGGGAAACAACAGAGGGGCACCAATAGCATGTGCTTAAACTGCTTTTGTTAAAAAAAAAATTGTCCTTGTGAGTTGCTTTTGGGTTGGTCCTATCTCATGGCGACCCCAGGTGGGCAGAAGACAGCTTTGTCCGGCTTCAGAAGCGGCTTGCCAATCTTGTCTCCCAGGGAGCCTGGGTGTCGGTACGAAGAACCACCGACTTTAGGCTAGAAGTTGAGCCCGTCACCACTTCTGGTCTGTGCCACGAGGGGTCGTTATGAGTCAGAATCGACTTGACCTCATACAGGTTCCGTCACCACTTCTGGTCTGTGCCACGAGGGGTCGTTATGAGTCAGAATCGACTTCGCCTCAAACAGGCTCTGCTGGAGTTTCTTTTGGGAAGAAAAGCCAACCAGACGGGGGGAAAACAAAGCAAACATTTAAAACGAACAGCACACAGTGCTTTAAACGATTTTGTGTGTTTGGGGATTTATCCAAAAAACCCCACTCTTTAATGTGCCTCCTTAGAAAGGTTTTCAAATGAAGGCTGTGGTCACAGCTGTCCTTCAGTGAGTATCCGCTCTGTGCTAGCCCCCAGGGCTCCGTATCTGTCATCTTGTTTGTTGTCACACTGTCCCTTACGGTCATTGAGTGGACTCCAGCTTTTAGTGACCATACAGGACAGAGCAGAACTGCCCCCATGCCTGGGTTTCCAACACTATAACTATGGGAGTCGAAAGCCTCATCTCCACTCATAGCAATCCTGTAAGACAAAATAGAACTGCCCCTGTGGATTTAGGAGACTGTAGCTCTTCACGGGAGTTGAAAGCCCCATTTTTCTCTGTTGGGAGCAGCTGGTGATTTCGAACTGCTGACCTTGCACTTAGTGGCCCAACGTGTAGCCCACTAAGCCACCAGGGCCCCTTCCATCCCTAAGACGCAAGTAATGTTAGACCCATATCAGATAAGGAAGAGGAGGCTCAGAGAGGGGCATCAAGATCCCCCAGCTACAAGTGGGAGAGCTGAATCCGTAGCGCCTGTCCAAACCCGGACTGTAGATACATCCACCTTCTGCCCCTTGTCACTGAGACCCCTCACCCTCTCCCCCACCCCATCCCGAATGTGCTCAAGCTAACGTGAATGGGAGCAGCCCTATCCCCCAAAGTGTCTCACAGGGACAGTTCTACTCTGTCCTATAGGGTCCCTGAGTCAATTGACTTCATGGTCCATTTAAAAATTTTTCAGTCCTGCAGAATTGACTAAAGGAAGTGGCCGGCTGTCTCTGTGTATATGCAGGCCAGTGGGAATGTCAGGTACCGTCTGGTTATCTCGCTTTCCCTTGACCCTGAGCACCTACGGGGGTGATGAGAGCCACGTGCTGTGTGTCCTTCTAGGTTATCCATTCCAGTGAGTGCATGCTCCTCACGTGCGATCTCAGAGCCTCAACCGTGTTATCTCTGCTGTTTCACAGTCCAGGGAGCAGAGGTATTAGCAGGACGCCGAGCCCCAGCTCACCCCACGGACCAGCGGTTCCTCGACTCCCTGCGGAGACCGGGTAAGTGGAGCCTGCATCAGGGTCACCGTGCCTCAAAGGATCACAGTCTAGGGTTGGAGTCCAGCCGGTGACCACCACTTGTAGGGTAGCCCACAGCCGATTCTAACTCGGGGGGGACACTATGGGACAGACTAGAACTGCCTCAGCTGGGCTCTGCATTGGGCAGCTAATCAAAGGTCAGCCGTTTGAAAACCACCAGGCACGCTGCAGGAGAAATGCGAGGCTTTCTACACCCGTACAACGGCACCGATTTGGAACCCCCATCGGGGCAGTTCTGCCCTGCCCTGTAGGGTCGCTCTGAGTCAGAAACGACTGGAATGCGCGGATTTACAAATGCTAACCACCACCTCCACACACTGCGTGCCCCCGCCCCTTCAAATCAACATATATTGGTGAATGTACCCCCAAAAGTCTGATGGTGAAATGATTGACAAAAGCCGCGTTTGGTTGATTTCGTGTAGATTCTTTTACTGTGAAGTATTTTTCCCCCATAGTGTTTGTACCACCCAGGGACCCTGACAATTAAACCCAAACCCAACCAAACTCCTTGCATCGAGTGGATGCTGACTCACAGGGACTCTGTAGGACAGGGTAGAACCGTCCCTGTGGGCTTCCCAGACTGTGCCTTTTTATGGGAGTAGAAAGCGTCATCTTTCTCCAGGGGAGCAGCTTGTGGTTTCGAACTGCTGGCCTTGCAGTTGGCAGCCCAATTGGGTAACCACTATGCCACCAGGGCTCCTACCTGAAAGGAGTAATCTCAGGCAAGGGAATTTAATGATATGAGTGAGTCTTGAAGGAAGAGGGATGGTTTATCAGACAACGAAATTGGAGGTGGGTTTAAACCAGCGGTTCTCAACCTGTGGGTCTCGACCCTTTTGGGGGTCGAAGGACCCTTTCACAGGGGTCGCCCGATTGATAACAGTAGCAAAATTACAGTTATGAAGTAGCAACAAAAATAGTTTTATGGTTGGGGAGCCACCACAACACAAGGAACTGTATGAAAGGGTTGTGGCATTAGGAAGGTGGAGAACCACTGGTTTAAATGAAGACCAGCCTATGTGCGGTCTCAGGTTGAAAGGAAGTACCATGTTCAGGGAACCTAAGGGAGAGAGGAGGATGAGGGAGAGTCACTACGGATGAACAAGTGTCTTCAGCAAAGTAAGGACTTCACTGCATTTCTAGAAGGATCTTTTCCCACCCCAGTATTATTGTCTTTTATTATCAGTATTGTTATAAATTTAATCTTTATTTTCCTTTGGAGTTGGCATGAGAATAACAGCAAATTATAAGGTGCAACATTGTATTAATGCTGCATGTAATTACAATGTGTATGTATATATTTCTTTTTTTAATTGTTTTGTGAGGGGCTCATACAACTCTTAGCACAATCCATACATACACCAATTGTGTAAAGCGCATTTGTACATTCATT